CAAAGTGATGAAAAGGACTCGAATGGACAATGCAGCATCAGCAAAGCATCAACAAGCAATGTACATCCAGATACACATCAAAATAGCAATGTAGTGCAGTGGAAGACTAAAAGACATGACCTAACCTGTAAGATACTGATGCGACATCCCATCATACAGCACACATGTGAGAGAGGGAGGAGGGATCGCATACATGGAAGAAAGGTCCCTCCTTGCACACGCACATGGGGGAGACACCACGGATGAGGAGATGGGGGGAGAGGCGAGACGAAGATGGATGTGAGGGAGAAGTCCAAGATCGTGATAGTGAAGTCCAGAAATAGTCTCCCTGATGAATGTCCAATCGATGTTTGCCACAAAAAATGTCGAATCAGATCCTGGGCTTCATGCCTGATGTAACCTCTGCCTGTAACCTCTCTCTCTCTATACCAGACCAGACGTGGCAAGGCACGAAGCAACGTCTTCTCTATATTTACGTTGATTACTGACGTACTTACCAGCACATGTAGAGAACCTAAGTCCAATATGGACCTAACACACCTGAAGCGCACTGCAGACTCAATCGTAATGAAAATGAAAAAGATGAGAGCATACGGTGGAACCGGTGAACCATTGGGGCAGAGGGCTTGTAGTACCTTTATTTACAGCAGCAGACTAGCAATAGGCGCGCAGCGCTGGTCTGGATGTGTACACAGTCAGCAGACAGGAAGTAGGCTAAATCGATGGACTTGAAAGAGCACATCGCATACTTGAGCAGTACGAATCCGTCGGTGGTCTCAATTGGATCTCTCTCTGGAAGAAGAAGAAGAAGAAGAGATGGAGGGCGAGAAGAAGAAGAAGAAGATGTTGTCCTCCTCGCTGTTTGACCTGCGGGTAACTGCCGCCATGTACTGACTGCCGTCGTGGTCCTTGTGCAGGTCGCCAGCGTGGAGTGCGGCTATGGCGCCCAGGTAAGTACCGCCGCTGCAGGCATGGCCTCTGCCTCACCTCCAACCTACAGCTCTACTTCTATAGCGCAGCACTGTGTCGCACTGCTCCAGCAGCGTGTCGCCCAAGAAGTGAGCTACTCGAACTCTGTCTGCCTTGGTCTGGCCCAGCTATATGTAGCGCTGGGCCGGCTGGTCTGCCTCTGTGTGCCTCTGGTCCTATGCCCAAAACGTGGGCCTACTGGGTCTGGGTCCCGATTTGAAGTCCGGACCCTGCACCTGGGTCAGAGTGGCCTGCCTACTGGTGAACCCGGCCCAAGGTGCGGCCTTTGGGACTGCAAGTCCGAAACGACGCTTGAACAGACAAAAATAGGACAGCAAATAAATAAGTAAATGAATGAATGCTGTCTCGAATTGAATCTTGCGGCTTAAGGGCCAGCCGTGGGCCCCTAGGGTGCACGTCCGAAGGGCATGCGACCAGGGGCCCCTAGCAACCGTTGGGCCCCCAAATTGGGCCTCCTGTGCAGGATTAGCATGTAACACCCCCCCTTCTTATGAAGTCAAGCTGGGTCGAGGGCGAAGCTGACGATCCGATGGTGGAACCTGGACGCGAGTACTGCGTGAAACCGAAGGTGCCGGCTTGCCTTGCTGTTTGTGTTCGTAACGTGCGGGAACATCGAGGGCTATAGCCTGAAGTTCCGCATGGGTCAACTAACGGTCAGCCTTATGGCTACAATAAGAGAAATGTACTAAGTACTTTGTGGGCTTGGTGTCGTAGCGCTGTTGTGAAATGATGTCGCTAACCTCCTGAAAACCGTCCATGGAGGGTGGGCTTGCCCAAAACGAGAAGGTGCAACTTTGAGCAATGAAAGACCGGGTAGATGGACAAGTGGGCAGGCACGTAAATGACGAATGGTCCTTCGGGTGCGTCACCAGCAGGTGCTACAATGCGCCAAGGCCCCATCCATTTCGGAAGGAGCTTCGCCGGCACGAAATGGACAAGGAAGACATTGGCGATTGGCCTGACTGCTCATGCGTTGCTTCGTCTTCAACATCTGGTCACGTGCCTTACCAAGGAGCTCTTGCATCCGTCGAATGAAGATAAGGTGGTTGTCACTCTCGGTCGCCCGTGGGATGATAGTGTCCAACGGTGATGTGACCAGCGAGCCATGCTCGAACTCAAAGGGCGATACCCAGATAGTTGGATGAATGGACGAGTTGTAAGCCAACTCGACATTCGGCAACCGCTCAACCCAATCCTTTCCGTTGGGACGAATGAGGGTGCGAAGAAGAACCTGTGCGGTTTGATGCACCCTCTCTGCATGGCCATCGGTTTGTAGGTGGCGAGCCGAACTCGGCTTGAGAGAAGAGGCCCATCGTTTGACAAGAGCCAACCAAAAGTTGGACATGAACCGAGTGTCGCGGTCGCAGACGATCTCCTTGGGGTAACCCATGGTACGAATCCAACCAGCATAAAGAACCTTGACCAACTTTGGTGCCTTGGCGTGAGAGCGGCAAGGCAAAAACATGGCGAACTTGGTGAGTCGATTGACCACCGTGAGAATATCATCCACACTGGTCTTGTGCTTGGGGAACTGGCCGGTGATGTCCATGGCAATCGATTCCCGTCGTCCTAAGGTGACCGGTAATGGTCGCAACCCGCCGTACGGACGATGGCTGTGGGATTTGCAACGCCGACAAACCTTGCATGACTCGCAATAGCGTGTGACATTGCCGAGAAGGTTGGGCCACCAAAAGCGATCGTGAAGTCGGCCAATCATATGATTGACTCCAAAGTGTCCGGTGGCGGGACTGTCGTGGAACTCGCCAAGAAGTCGCGTACGCAAGTGTGGGTCACTCCTTCCCCCGCAAGTGGACTAGCAGATAGCTAGCCCTCTTGAATCTGATGGTACGATGGCGCCGGATTCGGAGAGGAGCAGTTCACATACTTATCGCGAAACTCGGGGCTGGCTTGATAATCGCGGATGAAGCTGTCCCGCATTTCGTCGTAAATCTCGAACATGGAGTAGACCGCGGTACAAAGAACCGTGCGCTGTGAAGGAGCGTCTACAAAACGGTTTGACTTTCTCGGGATGTGATCGGGGAAGAAGTCAAACTGTTCTATGAAAGTCATTCAACAGGCGATGGTGCTATTGATCGTGTCTTGGGTCTTGTAGAAGACCAACGGATTGTCATCTACTACCCATTGGAATTGACTTTTACCAAGAAGAAAATGCCGCCACCCCTTGAGCGCGTGTCAGAAAACTAATAACCCTTCCTGTGCGTCGCCAATCGAACTCGACCGGGTGCCAGTCCATGCCATCGTGTTGCTCGAGGACGACACCAATGCCATAGCCGGACGCATCGGTAGTGACGCGTGTCGGCAAACGCGGGTCGTAGATGCGTGAGACCTCCGCAAATAGCAAGGCGACTTTGAGAGCCAAAAATGAAGCCCGCGCATAGTCACCAAAATCGAACGGTCGATCCTCGCATTGAAGCTTGGTGAAATGGGTCGTGATCTTCGAATAGCTTTTGATATAGGGTTGATAGTAGCCAGCTAGGCCAAGAAACGAACGAACATCCGTAACGTTCTTTTGCTCCGGCCACTCTTAGACGACTTGAATTTTGTCCGATAATGGATTAATGCCCTTCGGTTTGACAAAATGGTCCAAGTACTCCCACTCTTGTCGTACAAATTTGCACTTATCGTGGTTGGCTTTGTACTTGGCGTGATGGAGCGTCTCCAACACACGTCGAAGATGCCTGAGATGGTCCTCCAAGGTCCGGTTATAGACGAGAATGTTGTCCAAGTTGACCAGCACAAACCGGTCCAACATTGCGCGAAACTCATTGGTCATCGCCGCTTGAAAAGCCGTCGGGGCATTGGTGAGGCCGAAAGGCATGACAACCCACTCAAAATACCCGTAGCGCGTCTTGAACCCGAATTTGTAGCGATCTTGCGGGCGTATCGAAATAACCGCCCAAACGCTCAAGAATACCTGACCTGTCAGATACTGACGCCGCGTCCCATCATACGCGACACAAGTGAGAGAGGGAGGAGGGACTGCATACATCGAAGAAAGGTCCCTCCTTGCACACACACATGGGGGAGATGCCACTGATGAGGAGATGGAGGGAGAGGCGAGACAAAGATGGAGGTGAGGGAGAAGACCAAGATCGCTATAGCGAAGTCCAGAAATAGTCGCCCTGCCGAATGTCCAATCAATGTCTGCCACAAAAATGTTGGATCAGATCCTGGGCTTCATGCCCGATTAACCTCTGCTTGTAACCTCTCTCTCTCTCTCTCTCTCTCTCTCTCTCTCTCTCTCTCTCTCTCTCTCTCTCTCTGAAAGAAGAAGAAAAAGAAAAAGAAGAAGATGAAGGAGGAAGGAGGAAGAAGAGATGGAGGGCGAGACGAAGAAGAAGAAGAAGATGTCGTCCTCCTCGTTGTCGCACCTGCAGGTAACTGCCGCCATGTACTGACTGCTGTCGTGGTCCCTGTGCAGGTCGCCAGCGTGGAGCGTGGCTATGGCGCCCAGGTAAGTACCGCCGCTGCAGGTATGGCCTCCGCCTCACCTCCTACCTACAGTTCTACCTCTACAGCACAGCGCTGTGTTGCGCTGCTCCAGCAGCGTGTCGCCCAAGAAGTGAGCTACTCGAACTGTCTGTCTACCATGGTCTGGCCCAGCTATATGTAGCGCTGGGCCGGCCGGTCTGCCTCTGTGTGCCTCTGGTCCTACGCCCAAAATGTGGGCCTACTGGGTCTGGGTCCCGACCGGACTCGCAGACCCTGCACCTGGGCCAGAGTGGCCTGCCTAGTGGTGAACCTGATCCAAGGCACGTCTTGGGGACTGCAGGTCCGAAACGATGCCTAAACAGACGAAAATAGGACAGCAAATAAATAAACAAATAAATGAATGCTGTCTCGAATCGAATCCTGCGGCCTAAGGGCCAGCCGTGAGCCTCCAGGGTGTGGGTCCGAAGGGTGTGCAGCCTGTGTGCAGGCTCAGCATGTAACACGTGTTCACTTCTGAGGCTGATAGGTCGATTTGTGGTGCCTCTCTGCGTGTACAGGTTGTAGTCATGAAGTATAATGAAGACATGCAGTGCATCCAGTGCGTCATACTTCCCGAAAAATCCAGACTATATCTCCCAGCCAACGTGACAATGGTGCGTATGCCAAAAAGTGTTGTTTTTGTCTCTCTTCTCTTTTCAATTTCTATGTTCCGTCTGTCCTTCCTTAGTCCTGCTCACTTTTGACACCTTTTATCCATGGCTACGATCCGGACGTCCAGACCGCCGTCCATACGGTCCGGATTCGGTCCGGATTCCGGACGTCCGGTCCAGACGGTCCGGATCTGCCAAATTTCGAGGAAAAAAAAAAAAAAAAAAAAAAAAGGGTCCAGGACCCTTCCCCATTGATGAGCCAAGCCCCAAAAATTGTTTTGGGTTTTTTTCAGGCCCGTTTATGCTTTTTTGGGGGGTCCGGACATGCTGTCTCTCTATAATAATTTATTAGACAACCCCAAGTTTTTTGTTATGAATAATTCATTACATTTTATTAGTTTTTTTAACCTTTTCAAGTCTTTTTTTAAGCTTTTCATAGTTTGACTTTATATCGTCTTTTTCCATATTCTCTTATCTTGAAATGTTATTTTTTTTAACATATCTCTCATTATGCTTACTTCTATTTAAATATAAAAGTAATGATAGATTTAAATTTTTACTATCAGTTTTAAATAAATACATAAATTAAAAATTCATAGCGCACTTAGAGGTAAGGTATTACCTACAAAAATAGATACTGTTTTTTCAGATTTTTTTTTT